CTAAACTATTTCTGTTCTTATGTAACTCATGCGCAACTCTTGCATAACTGTTGTTCAACTTGTGTACTATATATAGCCGTTCACTTTCTTAAATAAAGAGGAGAAGTGAGTGAGTAGAACCTCACAAAATTTTGAATGTAATTTCGGTAGTAACCAGCTGTGTTTACAAATTTCATCACATCATCAGCACTCTTTGGTTCCGGGATTGCACGTACCTTATCCAATAACGGAGAAACACCGGAATTAGCGATGGTATGTCCAAGGAAATCAATTCTGGTTTTGAACACTTCACATTTTTGCGTGTTTAAACGAAAATTCGCACGCGCCAGGCCAGTGCCATACGCACAAGTTCAACATGTTTGCGGTGTTCAGTAAAGGATTGCGAGTAAATGAGAATATCATCGAGACACGCGAGACAATATTGCCATCGATGAGGACCAAGAACGTCGTCGACGATGCATTGAAATGTTGGTGGTCCGTTTTTAATCCTTGTGCGAGCACTTTCAATTGAAACAATCCTTTTGAGGTTCGAAATGCTGTTTCTGGGGATCTTTCTCAGCGATGGGAACTTGATGGTAACCACTATTGAAGTTGAATTTAATGAAATACGTACATCCTGAACACTGATCAAATATTTTGTCTTGTCGAGGTGGTCCATAATTATCTTTGGTTGTCACGTGATTTAATTTACAAAAATTAATACGAAAGCGGGATGAGCCATCTTTTTTTTTTACTAAGACAATGGGTGACGACCATGCTAAATAAGATCGTTCTGTTCCGTCTTCTTGTAATAATTGTTTCACCGCTTCATCAATGAATTCATTAGTTTTCAGATTTTGTCGATAATATGCTGCGATGGTAGGACGACTACCTTCTTCCAAATCAATGGCGTGTTTGATGGTAGTATCAATAACGGATAGTTTCGTTGTATCAAATATTTTTGCGTATCTTCGTAACAACATTCTCACTTTTTCACGTTCAACACGGTTGTCCATTGATGTGACCAATTTATCAATTTATCAAACAGACAGACTTCGGTACTTCATAGTCGGATTCTTGATCTTTTTTCCAATAATCCAATTCGAGTAGATGATGAAACAGTTGAAGGGAACATTCTCGACATTGATGTCTATCAGTGTTTGAGTGCAATAGTGATGACTGTTGTAGCTTTTCATCAGAGTTAACTAGTGGAACACACAATCTTGAGGGCGGATATGAAACCTACCAATACAGGTGATAATTTTAGACAATACGCGAGGAAATACGGACGGATTAATTACCGTTATTAACGATGTATACTTTTCAACTTTGATCAACGCATGTGGGAAAAGAACCTCAGATTTGTTCGCCGCATACGTCTTGGGTGTAAACTTGAGAGTGTCCACGTCATGGAACGGTATTCGTATTTGAATTTGTGCTTCTTGTTTGGGTGTGATCGAACAGTGTGAACAAGTCGAGCGATTTTATTATCATTGATTTAAAAATAAATGGAACCGATGCTTTCTGGCCTTGCTTAGTTTTACACACGACGATGCGCTCTCCGTATTTGATATTTATACTATTTTCTTGTACCCAATCATTGCCTAGCAACAATGAAGTACACAACTCGTTTGAGACTGCAGCTTTAACAAATGTGCGAGCCGGTCTAATTTTGACATTCAACCAGTACCAATTGTTTTGAGCTCACCGTTATTGGCGGTTGAATATGTTCGATGATCGTTTTTGACTATATGATTATGAGAGAACTTCTTAAGCGTGTCATGACGAGTGATTGTTATTCCTGAGCCGGTATCCACCATCACCACTGTCAACATTCCAGTGACCGGCACTTGAATCATTACGGGTGATGGATTTTTCTTTGACTTGGGAGCAGTGCCATCTACCACCGTCCTCCTCTGCCTTTTAAACGAGACTGAGTTGAACATTCACGTCGAAAATGGCCATGTTGTCCACAGCGATAGCATATCTGTGGTTGTGATCGACCGATATATTGTGTATTGCAATTGACAAGCGTTGTAGTTGGATAAAAAGAAGGGTTGTTCGATAGAACAAACTGCTGATTTGACCGTTCAACATCTCTTGGTCTCAGTTGTTGAACAGGTTGGTGTGTAACATTCGAAACCGGTCTTTAAACTAATCGAGGTGGTTGATTAGAAATGAATGCTGTTATAAACTGATTTTCATACACACACTCTGATGATGGATACTGTGGAACAACATAATTTTGCACCAAAATCTTCCTTTCAGCTGTTTCCAGATTCATAATCTGCGCCATAAAATGAGCGGTTGTTTGAATATTTTGAGTGCTCAATAATGTTTGAAGGTTTTGCCTCAAACCGCCAAACAAGTGAATAATCTGAGCTTGCCGTGTCATTTGTGGATCCACTTTCTCGCATAGGTCAAGAACACGATGATAGTAATCGACGGTAGATTCATTTTCTCGTTGCTTCACATTCTTCAACTCGAAGTGTGCTTGAATAGATGTTAGTGGTGGGGGAAATCGAACTATCGATGTGAGAACAAATTCCTGCCACGTACTGAACAGATCTGAATGATCATGAAACCATTCAGCTGCTTTGTCTTGTAGTTTTATTCGAATTTTCTTCAATCTAATTCTAATTGAATCATTATCAACATCATAGGCAAAACACACATCGTCAGCATGTCGAGCCCATTCTCGTGAACTTTCATCTGATTTTCCATAAAAATCACGTAACTCCCCAATCGCTCTATGGGACTAATCTTGAGACATTGAAACTAGTTGAGGGTGTATTTGTATATAGATGAGCGACATCATCACTATCATTAATTACTTAAAGAGAATTAGACAATATAGAGTAATACGTCATCATAATTTTTTGGATTCTTCCTTTTTTTGTAAAGGCGGGAGATTCTGTGAAATGCATGCTTTTCTGCGTCCGTACTGTAAAAGTAGGCCGAACTCAAGCGACCCAATACCCAATAATATTGTGAAAACTCAACATATTGGGGTGAGCAATATATTGTATTTGTGCATGCCTAAGCATGAGGGTGCCTTCACTATTTTTGAAATATTTTTCAGGAAATAAATGCAAGTCACCGCATAAATATACAGGTTGATAGAAAACTTCAAGAGCTATCAAAATATCTAAGTACTTTTCTAAAAATGTGTTATTATATCGATGATAAATCAAAAAACACGACTGCAACTACTGTTTTCCACAAGAATATGTAAACCTTCCTTCGATATACCATCATAGGTACAATACACAGATGCACACAGAAGAAGAATTTTTTCTTTTAAAGCAGAAAGAGAAAAGCTTAGAGTGAGTGTGCCTAAATAGAACGGAATAATCACAGTTTATTTTTAATCGATTACTGTACAAAAATCTGATGGTATACATGAAATTCTTTTATATAGCCAGATAGAGTAGAATCTCGTGCGTCGAATGCTGAAAGCAAACTTTTGAGTTTGATCCAGAAATAGCGGAGTTATGATCGACAGTTTGAATTTGAATTGAGCCGTTCTAATAAGGTAGATACTTCTTAAACGGAACGCCAAGGAAAGTTTTGCTCCTTAAATAGAACTCTCCCCTACAAATACATGCGAAAACGTAAGAATTTACAATAACTTTATTTTCACTACTAAAAGCTTAATATTAAGAAAAACTTTTCCTAGCAGAAATGTTCTACTTTTTCAGCTCTATCAACCGCTAGCGGGCGAAAACTAACTTCCACTTCATTGACGAGCTGTTAATTATACAACATGATCTATCTCCGTTCTATATATCAAACTATTCCACGTTTGAGCAAACGGATGTATTTAATGTGAATCGTGCCTATTTGAACAAATAGTATGACTGTTTCTCACCTATTCCAATGGTATACTTACCTACACTAGCAGCATCTCCAAAATAACTTTTACACAAGAAAAGTTACACTAGCGGTGAGACAGGGACCGACCTAGCAAGATCTTGTTAATTTATCCATAATTTTTATATAATAATTCTGGTAATAATCTAATATTATACTTTTATATTTATAGATCTAATGAACTTCGCGAGCTTAGTTTATCTAAGTTACCAGCTAGATTGATAGAACAACAGTGTATTGCATATAATAGTCGCCTTACTAGCTAGCTATAGAATTAGTATTGAACATGTCACTCGCGATATTAAATTATACAAAGTTATAGCAGATCCTCAACGTCGTTTCAAAACGAATAAAACATTCTGGAATCAAATATCAAACTGTGTCTTTGCCTAGGTAAGCAAAAGACGGGTGAAATAATTAGTCTTTTTTCCTAGTTCGGACGACCGTTCCGACTAGTCCGAAATTTATTTACAAGTATTACATTTGATAACTTCAATTGGATAGTATTACTACTAAAGCTCTATCCTCTATATATCCAAATGTGATCCAGTTACAAGCGCTTTAAATATAAATGCAACAGTTACTACCTTTCTTGTATTTTATGAACGTGAAAATGCTAGTTTACGTAACTCTATCAACTCCACACTCTCTCTCTCTTCACGTTATTTTTCAGTGTGTTTGTGTATAAAGGGAACGAGTGGAAACACGCACAGAAAAGAAAAAGCCAATGTTTTATCTACCACACACCATATACACGTGAGAAAGAATAAAAAGAAAAAGGATTTTTCATTTGTCTCAACCATCATTGAGGCAAACGGAAAAAATGTTTTTTTTTTGTCAAAATAGTATACTCTTTTTAACCAGTGTCGAATATACTTACAGTGAATACGGTCAGTCAATCTGAAGTGACTGGTGAGTGATACAAACTTTTGTTATACATTAGATAGATTACAAACACAAGCTTGGACTTTCGAGCTGTTTCTCTTACTACTCGTTTAGAGGTCTTTTATAGTTAACAAGGATACCAGACTGAAATAGAGTAGGTCTTTTTTCCAATAGAAGAATAACTATTTTATTGTAGTTTTCATGGCAACTCCATCAAAAGTTCAATGTACAAAATGTGTGAAAAACAGCGCTATAACCGCGTGTGAAGGTTGTTCATCAAAACTGTGCAGACGGTGCTTCAACGATCATCGTCAAGATTTGTCGAAAGAACTCGACAATGTTGTTTATGAACACGATATGCTCAAAGAGCAGCTCGAAACGCCAAATGAAAATGATTCTCATCGTCTGTTAAAAACAAATTGAT